TGTAATAAAAAACATTTTTTAATAAATATAAATAATTTATTTATTTTATAGTTATATAGTAATTTAAAAAGCTATTCTATTATATATATTTCTTAAAGAAGAGATAGCAATACATTACATTAATTAAATTATTATATTTATATCATTTTTAATATTTTGTATGTAATTTTTTTCACATATTATGTACAGATGGAAGAAGCAAAGAATCGCTTTATCAGTGAATATGAAAAATTTCATAAAGTACAAGTACAAGAAGAAATTCTTTTATCAGAGAGAATTGACACACTCATGGGAAACGTTATGAATGTGATACTACAGACAGATATCAAGAAAATACATGAAATGGCTATAGAAGTAAAAAGAATTTCGAAAATAATGAAAGAATATCAAGAATTTGGTTTATTGTTGAATGAACGGCAAAAATTATTCGACATGGATGTTGTGCCGTATGAACAATTAAATATATTAATAAAGGAATTCGAACCATACCAAACCTTATGGATTACTGCATCCGGTAACTAATATTGTATAAAAATATTTTAAAATGTTTAATTTTAAATTAGCAATTTTATTAATTTAATATATCAAATTAAAATTTTTATATACTGTTAAACGCAGATTGGTTAAAATGGCAGGAAATATGGATAGAAAATCCTCTAGTAAGTTTCGATGCAAATCAAATAGAAAATATAACTGCCGATACGTACAAAGCGATATCGCATTGCATAAAAGTATTTCAAGAAAATCCAAGTAAGTTGATATGTTGCTAAAAAATTTATTGAATTTTAAATGTATTGTATGGAAGTCGCAAAAAACTTGAATACAATAAAACATAGAGAAAAGAAATTATTAATATTTTTTTCATGGATTATAGAGATGATTGCTGTAGCAGTCAATATAAAGGATCAAATCGAAGCATTTAAACCATACATCAGCGTGATACAAGCTTTGCGATGTCCAGGAATGAAAAATCGGCACTTTGAAGAACTTAATAAAAAAATTGGTATAAAAGTGGCACTTACGCCAACTTTATCTTTTAAGAATTTACTTGTTTTTAATATAATGAAACACAAGGAAACTGTGAAGACCATTGCAAACACGGCAGCAAAAGAATTTTTAATAGAAAATACACTAGATAAAATGATGACCGATTGGAAAACAATTACAATGGATGTTTTTCCTTATAAAGATACAGGTGCGCAAAATTTCATATAAACATTCAAATTTATTTCAAACAACTTCATACATTAAATATTATGTTTTACGTTTATCTATAAATTAGAAATAATCTTAATGTAATAAATTATAAGAAAATATATTTTAGAAATTAAAAATTTAACATCAATACTTTTGTCATTTGGTATTTTAATAAAGATGGAATTAATTAAATTAAAAAATAAATATTAAAATGTTTTATATTAGAATATCTTCTTTACATATAGTGTCTTCTTTACATATGGTTAAAATTAACATGTATATAAACATAATTTGATACATTAGACTCTTTGTAATATAAATAATATATTAATTTTTGTTTCTCACATCGTAATAATATCTTAATCTTTTTGTATAGATAAATATATCATGAAGATTTCCGATGAGATCATTACTTTATTGGACGATGATTTACTTAAAACTCAATATCTTAGTTTTAGTCCTTTTAAAGCTGTTTTCGAAAACCAAATTGATGAGTGGGAAGCTAAATTGAGATTAATTCAGGAAGTGATCATTCTATGGGTGGAAGTGCAAAAGTAACACTCATATCTTGATTTCTGTTTGTTATTACATTAGGATATATTCCCATTGATTTTGTATACACAGGCAATGGATGTATTTAGAACCAATATTTGCATCTGAAGATATTAATCGACAGTTGCCTGTAGAATCGCGTAAATTTAATACGGTGCAACGCAACTTGGAGCGAATTATGGGAAACGCTCGTGATTGCCCAAATGTATGTAATACAAATTTTATTTTAATATTTATTTTAATATTTTACGCGCATTTACCATTTTGTAAATGTGTTAGAGTATCAATAATTTTAAATAAAATTTATATCAATTTATCTTATATCCAAAAAATACGTAACCAGTATAATATTCAATTAGTTTTTAATCTATTATATTGTCAACTTTAATTTAATGTGCAACGCGCATGCATGTGTAATTAAATTTCTTTTAACTTTTCTAATTTATTTTCCAATGTAAATATTCTTGAAATATAATTGTAAATATATTGTTTTTTTTAAACATAAAAAATGGATAAATAATTTCCACATATTATTTATTTTATTCTCCATTATTCATTTTTCTAAAATTTTCTAAAATTTTTCTTATATTTTAAAAATGTACTTGCATTGGTTAACAAATTTAGCTATTTTTAAATATAATACGATATTTATTGTAAAATGTTTTGTGTAAAACTTAAATATTAAAAAAAAAAGAGAAAAAGAGAGAGAAAAAAAGAAAAAGAGAAAAAACAGATATTTTTTAATAGATGTAGATAATAAATATATAGAATAATTTATATAGATAATAAATATTTAAATAAAAATTTTCTTAAAAACTTTATTACAAATAATGCAGGTAATTGTAACGTGTACGGATAAAATCTTATTATCAACTTTGAAAGAATGTCTCTTGAACCTAGAAACTATTAAAAAAGATTTGTCCGATTATTTGGAGACTAAACGAATGATTTTTCCACGCTTCTTCTTCTTAAGCAACGATGAACTTCTGGAAATAATCATTCAGTCCAAGCACATTCAAGCGATCCAACCATATTTAAAGAAATGTTTTGAAAACATGGAGGATTTGAGATTTGAGAATTCAGATCTTAGAATAACGAGGATGTATTCTGCCGAATATGAAGAAGTTGTGCTACGACCGCCGATTTATCCCGAAGGAAATGTGGAGGATTGGCTAGGACAAGTTGAGAATGCGATGCGCAATACCCTGCGAGAGATCATTGGCGAGGCCCTCGAAATAATAGAAACGACACCGCGAAAGGAATGGGTGTACATGTGGCCGGGACAAGTAGTTCTTTGTGGAGGTCAAGTACATTGGACTGCTCACGTGGAGGAAAGTATCACAAACAACACTCTGCTCGACTATTATAATTACATGTTGCTACACGTATGTATTGTACTAACATCATGTTACATTATGTTATAAGATAAACAGTGCTTGCGTTTACAGTGGAACCGCTAATATTTTCATCCAAATTAAATAAATATTTACTAGCGTTATATATTTCGCTTTTACTTAAAAATCTCGAGAACATTAAAATGTGCATTTAAAAATCGATTGTATTAAAAAGCGTATCTTTTTCTTATTTTTTCTTTCTTGCTTATATTTCTTTATACTTGCATTATTTTATTTAAAAGTCATTAAGTAAATGCATCTCTCAACAATCTCTCTATAATGACATTCTCTTATGCAATAAAAAATTCAACAGTTACTCAAAGTAAGGTCAACTCGATTCTTTGAAGCTTTATCCTGTTCATGATATTAATGAGCATAATTTTAATGAGCGTTCGAAATCGAAAACTTCTTTTCTTGAGAAAATAAAGAGATAGCTGCGTACATATGCGTATATTTACTATTCATTAAAGATATTCATTTATTGTTTTTTCTCATTTTCTAGTAAGTAAAGAATAATTGGCTCATAACAGTGTACACTTGAGTAATATTTTATAGCTTGAAGAATTGCAAAAGTTAATACGCGATCCGCAAACTGAAGTACAAAGATTAATGCTGGAGGCCGTAATGATAATTGAAATTCACGCCAAGGATGTTTTGTATAAATTGATTCAAGAGAAATTAATCGATATCAATGAATTTGAATGGATCTCTCAATTACGATATTATTGGGTTAATAACAAGGATTTGAAGATTCGCGCGATAAATGCTGAATTTCCGTATGAGTAGGTTTATATGATAAATGTTACCAAAACTATTGAGAAAAGAGATACAACTGTTAATAAATTTTAAAACTGATTTTGACAAAAAAAAGTTAAATATAATTAAAGATTTCAATAGAATGATAGTTTTTAAGAGAGATAATTTATAAGTTTAAATATATTAACTTTCTTATTGAATTTTATTTAGAAGTATTATAATAATATATAATATATTGAATTATTGCACTAAAACAAGTATATAGCTAACAAAGTTTGTAAATAGATTAAAACTTACGCGCTTGTCCGAAATTGTTTACCTCTTCTATACTATACAAGGAAATCTGCTCTTTAAGTCGACTATTCATTGTCTCTACGAATCTGCTAACACTCTAATTACATTCCTAAACTCGATTTAAGATACAGATACCATTTTAGAGTGTACCTCTTTAGTATTTATTTTGGAAGAAGTATTACTACAAGATCTTAGAAAGCTCTCATATTAATTTCCCAGAATATAGGATCTAAATAAAAAGTTCCTTCTTGAAGCCATATTACCAACTTTAAATATTATCCATATAAAATATGTATTTTCCATACAAAATATGTATTCTTAAACATTTTTCTCTTAGTTTAACATTATTTTTCTTTTTATAGTGTTTATCATATAAGAAAATGAGAACATTATTGAAGTTAAAATTTTCCTTGAGGAGTCCGGTAACAGAGTTTAAATTTTTAAATTCTGATAGATATGATTACATGAAATATCGACTATATTACAAAAAATGTAATTTTTTCAGAGTTTTTCAGTTTAACAGATTTTTTATTAATTATTTGATAATTATTTTCAACATTTACATAACTAAGACAAAGTTATTCTTTATCTTTTTTTTTCCTTCAAATGAAAAATATATCAAATTATCTTGTGAGCGGAGTTATGAACTGTCAAAGTTGCGTAGTGTGAATTTGTACTTATGTAAAGCAAAACATGTACGCGAATAAAATGTTAATTTATATTTTAATTTGAAGTTGATTTTCCAATTAATTAATATCTTAATATTACTTGCTTTGCTTGTTGACTCTTTATAATTTGATTTCAATGAAAATCTATTATTAATAAATTCTACATTATTGAAGTTATTATATTTTTTATGTTTTTTAGTTATGTTTTTTTATGTTTTTGTAGATACGAATATTTAGGTAATAATGGAAGATTGGTGATTACACCTTTGACCGATCGCTGCTACCTCACTCTTATCAGTGCATTGCATTTGAAATTCGGTGGTGCATTAATTGGTCCGGCAGGCACCGGTAAAACGGAAACTACAAAGGATCTCGCAAAAGTATTCGCGATTCAATGCATAGTTTTCAATTGTTCTGATCAACTGAACTTTCAATTTATGGGCAAATTTTTTAAAGGACTTGCCAGGTAATTTATAAGTATTATCATACATACATATTTATAACATATCATTAGCACTTTGTAACGTGAAAATTACGTTAACATGAATCAATTAATTTTAATAGCACTTAATTAAATCCAACATTTGTAATGTTACATAGCACCGGTGCGTGGGCGTGTTTCGATAAATTCAATCGAATCAATGTCGAAGTTTTATCCGTTGTAGCGCAACAAATCATGACTATTCAAAAAGCACAGCAAACACGAACAAACAAGTAAGTAAATGAAATGTAAAATAGCTTAACACAATTTAGGAATTATATAATAGAACGGATTTAACAATGACTTCTTTCAGAAGAATATTAAATTGTCATATAATTTTAGAGAATTTCCTAAGTAGCATGTACTGGTTTATTATGTATACTATATATATATAATTATTATATGTTTTTTAATGTATCTAATATTTTATAATCATTTAGAAATATGCTACTTAAGTTGTCAGAATTTGAGCAATTTAAATGTTATTTAATTATAAATCGTTTGATATGAAAGATAAATAATTTATGTATAATTTTAAAATTCTTCTTATAAAGGTAAATTCTTACTTATTAAAATTATATTTTTCTTATCTTTGTTCTGTCATATTTTATTATATGAGTGTATGCATATATGTATATATATGTAGACATCTAAACATATTGTTTAATTTAGCAAGTTGTCATATGTACGAAATAATTAATTTTCTATAAATTACAAATCGAATAATTTATAATATTGTATACAGAATAATAAAATTTAATAAGCCAAAAGATAACTAAATTTATATTATAATGTATTTATAATTCAAATCTTATTATTCCACTTCGATCCTGCTATCAACACAATTAATTAAATGTTTTTTTTCAATTTACAATTTATAATGATATTTATTTATAATGATATTTATATTACTCTTGTATATATTAGATAATCCGTTATATTAACATAAAATATTTATATGTTTCGCGGAAACATCTTATTATATCTATTTCTTCATATCTAAATTCATTAGAATATTTCGTGAATGCAATTTTAACGAAACATTGGCATTCTAATAATAAATCTGAATACGAAGAGATAATCCGCGAAACCCATATATAATCTGCTTTACGAGAGATTTACCATCTTTCGCTTATAGGAAGCGGCATAACGGGCAAACAGGGAATGTCGAAATTATTTCAACCGCTCAATTTTCTAAGCTCGGACTCGAGCATACTGTATTACGTATATGATACAGAATATTATACATCCCAATTTCGCTATAATGTTGTCTCCTATGCGCGAGAGATAATAAATCTTTTATTAAATAGAAAGTATAGTTGTACAGAAAGTATCCGTGAAATAGCTTGAAAAATAATACGCATAATTTCTATGCAATAAAAATAATAATAATTAATATGTAATAGTTAATAAGTAATATTAATAATTAATTTTATAGATAATAATTATTAATTTAAAAAAAATAATTTATTAAATATTAAATACATATACGTTATTAAATACATATACACACACACACACACACACACACACACACACGCGCGCGCGCGCGCGCGTTTATATATTTACTACTACATTCTACTACTATAATTCTATAATTTTAATTACTATAATTTCTTTAATTAAACAAATTAAAATGAGGCTCGAAAGATTCTATTAGTGAAAAATATATAAAGAAAGCCTATCAAAGCTGACATCAGCTGTTCGGATGCACAGAATCTCTTTATTCTTGTGTGAATGTATTAAAAACGAAATAATAAACTAATTTCAACTCTTTCTTTAATTAATTCCACAAAAGAACAATGTTTAAAAAATTTAAAAAAAAGTGTATTTTGCTCATTATCATCATGGAAACGTAAAGAAGATAATGAATCTTATTGATTTGAATCTGCTGAACACAATGGTATTAAGTATTGCTTTTTTTAAAAAATCGTTTTTTATGAACGCACAGATTTCTCTTCGAAGAAGTCGAACTTACATTGAAGCAATCTTGTGCTGTATTCATCACTATGAATCCTGGTTATGTGGGTCGAACGGAGTTACCTGACAACTTGAAAGTACTTTTCCGTCCGGTTGCTATGATGGTGCCAAATTATGCTCTCATCGCTGAAATATCTCTATTCTCATATGGCTTCGTGGATGCCGCAAATCTTGCCAGAAAAATCACGACGACTTTTAAGCTGTGCTCAGAACAACTAAGCTCACAAGTATTCTTATTTTTATTCGCCATTTTCTTTTCTGCTTTTTTTGGAAAAAAATAATATACATAATATACATTTTAATAAAATAAGTATTACTATATATTTCATATATATATATAATAGAATTGTGTAAAACATACATAAAAAGATACGTTATAAAAGATACGTTATAACTATCTCATTATGGTAGATTGTCATATATAATTAATAATTATTTATTACTTATTAAAAATTAAATGTTAAAATAATTAATTTATATCACAAAGAAAATTCCTCTGTCATTTAAGCTCTTTTAGATATATTACAGCTACTTCCCAATTAGTTAAGCTTTAAGAAATTAATTAATATTGCGATTTTAATTAATTGTATCTAAAATATAATATAGGACCATTATGACTTTGGTATGTATGCGGTAAAGACTGTTATTGTGACTGCTGGGAATTTGAAAAGAGAGCAGAAAGATCTTGAAGAAGACCAAATTTGTCTACGCGCCTTGAAAAATTTTAATGTGCCCAAATTTTTGAAGGACGATTTGAAATTGTTTAACGGTAAGTTATATGCATATAGACATACGCTATTACATTTTCTTCTTGCCTTTTAGATAATATATTAAGTAAATTAATTTCGTATCGTAATCTGTGTACATTTCTGTATAATATTTGTAAGAGGAATTAATAAGTTGGCATCCATTATTTTTCTTCTTTTTTCTAGACATTGTATCAGATCTTTTCCCAAAGCTAATCGAGAAACCAGTGGATTATGGAATCCTAGAAGCGGGCATCCGCAGATCTATTAGACAAATGGGTTTAGAAGACGTCGATGGTAAGTTTACTTTTTCATTTATAGATACATTTAATAATAGATACTTTTTGTATTTAAATATTACAATATTAAATCTCGATATAAAAGCAAAGTCAGTTTATAAATATTTTAAATATTTTAATACAAAGAAGCTAAATAATTAAAAAATTTAAAATCTAGTTTTGAATAAATTTTGAAATTTAAATATTTTGCACATATAAGAAGATAAATCTTAACTTTTTCAATCTTTATTTTCTCTCGGTTTAATTCATTGTAAGTATAGCTTACATTTATAAATTTTGATTGTGCCATTATGGTGTTGTTAAAGGTATAGATGAGATACGTTGAAAGTATATTAATGAGCAAGAAAAAAATATAAAATTTATATTTGCAATTAATATTATATTTCACAGTAATAAACAGTAGAATGCATAACATATGCATAAACAAATTATTTTAAATTTATGAAAGTGTTTCAAAATATAAATGTGTTTTATTTCTTTTTTAATTAAAACACAAATATGTATATATGCAGAGTATGTATTTAAATGTATAAATTAGTTTGACTTTTTGTTGCCTTATTTAGCTTGCGCTTAAAAAAATCTGTAAATTGTTTATTAAGCTACAATAGCTGTTCTTGGTTTTGCAGTTGAGGAATTATTTATCTCTTCTTTTTATTTGCAAAAAGTTAATTAAAATCGATGTATTTCAATAAATACGCGATAAAAATATTTATTTTTATAGCTTTATTAATTTACGCTTTTACATATAATAATATGCAAAATAAAAAAAACGTTAATATATGGACATTTATTATACATATATTAAAATTTGATATATGTAAAATGTATTAAATATTTACAAAAAATATTTTCTATGTGGCAGATGGCTTATAATGTACAACAATTATATTATAATCATGCAATTAACTTAAACATAAACACAGAAACTAATTAGAGATATACATAAATCAAATATTGAATTACATCAAAAATCTCTCTCATTTCCATATTACGAAATTATACAAGTTAAATAAATATTTGTCAATTACATGATTAATATTGGAGAATTTATTTATACGAAAACTTTTTTATCCTTTTTTTTTCATCTATTTATTACGCAAATAAATATTGAGATTTTGTATAGATATATAGATTTTTTTTATTAGCTTGTAATATAAATGACAAACAAAGAGAAATTATGAGAAATTATATTGATTATATTAATTTAGTAATATAAATTATCGAAATATGAATAATTTAGTTATTTTGCACACAATAAAATAAATAGAATTAAAACAAATTTTATAACATTATTATATTTTTCTCATTGACTGATTAAATTATATATTTATTGAATAATAAAGCAATAACCATTACTATATATATTATACATATAAACTTTTAATAAACTTTTATATTAATAGAAAAAATTATATATATTTTTGTGTTAAATTCTTTTGTGCTGATAACTTAAAAAATATTCATATATAGAGAAAAAGAAGAGAGCATAAATTTTTACAAAGTGAGAATCTTATTATTAATTTTTCATGATAATTATCCATTTTATGGATAATTATCATCTTCTTATCGCGCAAGAAAGAGCATATTTGGAGAATAATACTTCGCAAAATTATTGAGAATTATAAAAATAATAATGCAATGTGCACAACGTGTTTTCGCACAAAAGCATCCAATTTGAAAGCGCATGCTAAATATGACAATGCGAATTCGATCGATACTGGCATTCACAGCTTTCGTAACTTGTCTGGCCATGCTTCGCAGAATCTATTGAAGTTGTAACTCTAATTACAGACTTTGTGAGAAAGGTAGTGCAGCTGTACGAGACTATTTTGATGCGTAACGGATTAATGCTCGTAGGTTTAACCAGTTCGGGAAAGACTAAGGTAAGTGATAAGCAATTAATGAGATAAATATAGTAAATCTCTGTTATCTCAATAACTATCGAGATGAAAATTTTTCCAATTTCTTGATTGAGCTTATTAGTATTCCAATTTAATACTTCTATATTTCAAAAATGATTTATTTCAAACTATAATCAGACAACAGAGAGAGAAATTTGACTAAATCAATTACTTTTACGATTTTTAAAAATCTTTCTCAGAAATTTATAAATAGCTCGAAGCTTTTTGAATTATTTAAAAAGGATTTCTACATTTTAGAATAATTTAAGTACAAATTTTATATTATAAATTTTAATATTATAAATATTATATATTTATAATATTTTAAATAT